TGACACTTTTTATATGTAGATTTATTGATGACTTCTTAATATCCGTTGATAAAGTTGTTTATGTACAAAATAACGCTGGAATATCCCTATAATGTTATATTTAGTGACCTATGTTATGGCCTAGGGACTCGCTAAAACCACTGTCTCTCCGCTCGGTTTCACGAGTCTACGCGTTCGCTTATTTTTTACGTCAAAATACGGAGCGCCGCTACTATTTTTCTCGAACACCTTGTATTTCCTTCGGCCTCTTCTTCCGTCTTCTCAATGATATATATTTACACATTTTCGACACATAGACAAATCAACTACCGTAAAGGCAGCAAAGAGGAAGCCGCTGGAATCGGAATAGTGCTCGCATTTTTTTACTATACATTTTAATAAAGTTTTGATAAGTAGGAGAAAATTGTATCGTATAGGCGATGAATGATTCTTATACGCACTATCTTCGGAAGTGTATTTACACATGGAGTCGAGAGAACTCTAGCTGCCACCCACGGTAGAACGTTAGTTTCTTGAACGTGATTATACGTGTACCGAAAGTTAATTGCAATTTACATAGAATAAATCGTCGTATAGAGTAACCTTTTATTTTCGAAGATTACTGAGAAAATTTGATGGCACGAACGTCACAATTGTACTATATTTTCTAATCGGTACCATTGCAACCGTGTTTGTCTTTTGATCGTAGTATTGCGAAAATGTTCACATTAACCTTTCAACCGAATAGTACAAGATAACATGTTTGTTATTAGAACGATATGTTGCATTATTTTCAAAAGTATGTTCAAAACGTGTACTGTGCAGAGCTGGAAAGAAGTCCCGCGAGACGGCACAGGGGTAAGAGAGGCACTTCGCTCGCTCCGCCTGAGTCCACCTCTAACGTTCTCGCAACCTACACATTTAGGCTTGGGCGGGACACGCTGACATAGTAGTAGCATTCCATTATTCACGGGGGACACCTGCCATGATCTACCATAGATATCAAGTACCGAACCGCGGATACGGGGTCCTACTGTACTAGCAAAACATGAATATTTTCATTTATATTTACGCATATAATAAAACTTGTTATATAATAAAATTAAACGTATCCTTAAGAGGGTATTCGCTTTTCCCGACCGTAAAAATAGGTAATCTGTGTGATCTCCTTTTTATATATTTATTTTTGAAAACTGTAATTAAGAGTTTATTCTGATAAAAATGAACATGACCTAATGAAAGTATTTTTAATAGCGTAATTCGGGAAGCACTACTCCACGGATGAGAAGACCATTTATAGGACCACTTACACAACTTTTCAAATATTTAGTAACTTTCGCGATAATTATTATATCTCAGTTATATATGTGTGCTTATTATTAAATATTTATGAATTAAACTATTACTAAAATATTATTTATTTTCTCTTACTATTTTTAAATTCAAAATGTGAATTAAAAAGAATCTGTACGAAGTCGTGTTAAACTCACCAGAAGGATCTCACCAAATTAGTAGTAATACTTTTCTGAACATATTACGAAAAATAAGAAAATTTTTATATTATATTACTAGTTAGCATTCTGAGTTCATGCTTATGCCAAGTGCAGCTATCGCTTTGCACTATCTCACTCAGTCTCGATACGTCTCGTTTACTCTCTTCGTTACACGATCCAGTTAGTATGTGTAACCACTTCGGCCAATAATATGCTACGGCCGAAAATCCGTGTGAGGTAGTGTGGGTCTATTTCACTGGGCCCAATCAGACCCGCATTCCTTCCGCGGGATTTCTTTCCAGCTCTGAACAGTACGCAGTTAATACGTTCGCCACCACTGTCGAACTATAGTCGACGCAGAATATTTTGCCCTGTGTGCGAGCGTCGACAATACGTCGGTCGGTCACCGTACAACATAAAAGTCGACGCAGCCTTCGTGTGATGGACGACTACCTTCACGAATCGTACATCGAACGCTGAGACAGTATGTGCGTGTGTGTCTGTTGTGTATTATATGCTGGCTGAGCTACGAATCGGTGGATCATGTTTCTCATGATTTTCTGGTGGCAGCGGACGTGTTAGACGATTACATAGTAATGTAAACGATCAAAATGATTAATTATCTACAAACAACTAAAAAAGTTGTGTTGTTTGAGAACGTACTATCCGTGGATACCATTAGTGGCAAACGAAACGTAGTCTTCTGTCAGTTTTGTGGTTAACAGAACTGCAGAAGACGATCGGCATTTTCCGAGGATTCAGGACGCCTTGATGTTACCTTAGGATAGGAATTAATTATACTCGAGTAGAATTAGCAGCTTGAAAATACTTTTAAGCAATTTTTAAGGATGCATATTGCTTTCTCAATAAGGCTCCGCTATGCTTTACACGAATGTACAGTGTGTCCGCGCGTATGTTGACTCTCGTTTTGGTCGGCTGATTCTCTGACTTTAAAACTCGTTTCCTGGCTTCACCCCTCCCACGCTGACAGCTTCGTGAAGCCTCGTGAGTCTTTTTGTTTTTTTTTTCTTTCTTTGAAATTGGAAATGATTCAAAGTGTACGAGGTCGAAGAATTGGGATTGTACATCGAAGTCAGCCGCTACTGTATAGAGAGACAAGCAGGAATTTTTCCTTGCTCAAGAGTTCGTTATTATCTCTTCTTCATTCACGATTCTTATCTTCGTACATATAAACACTTTTCGTGAATATTTTTTATAGAATGAAAAAATGCTCGAAAGTAATTCCAGGTAATAAGTATCGTACAATTTTTACTACACATCATTTTACGAGAAAAGAAAAGGAGCGTTTGAAATGAAGATCAGCGAAGAGAGAATAATCCTCGAACTAAAGTTAGAACTCCAGCTTGTCTACCATACGCGAAAGGAACGTGAATGAATCGTGTATGCATAGATACGAGTTTCTGCGCCGCGCCGTTTGTGGCAGCACAGTAGTGTTTGAATAACGTCGTACGATATAAACAAGTCGATCTCATAAAAGTAAAACGATAGGCCTTACAAACTATCGGCGTTAAATTTTTTGTACAATAATTTAATATTCGTTACACGATTAATTTACTCGATCATATTTCTCTACATTACCCTTGTCGAATCACACCATTCTTTCGATTTTCTGTTTTATTCGCCTTGTGAACGCGTGCCGATTGACTAGCAATACAATACGATGCGCTTCGCTTAATTTTTTTTTCTTCCTCTCGGCTTAATACGACTCATTGTAAAATATACAATTTTTCTTCGTAACGTCATTCTATTATAATAAGAGTGATACTCTCTTTTTTTCTTTTTATCCTCTTCTTCCTTTTTCGTCGACTATCGACGACACTTGGATCCGACATGTACACAATATATATTTAATTACAATCGGACAATTCTAATTAAGGTTCCTTCCGTGCATTCGCAGGTTTGATCATAGAAAACACAGGCGAACAACCAGTATCGTAGAAGAAATCGTGAATCTCGACCGTCGATTCGCTGTGTTTTCTTTACATTCGCTCTCGTGCCACGCCACTTTTCTTACACACTCAAAAATCCTTACGCTGCTTAAAAAATAAGATCTGATATATCTAGTGCTGGGCTTATCGCTACGTTAATTTCTGAGTTACTCGATTTCAATCCCGGGCATTTCGTCGGGACAGATTAGATAGGATTACAAGCAGTTGTTTCTTTTTTTCCACCATAGAGTACAAACACATTAGAGACGTTTTCGCGAGTACGTTTCGTCAGTTTCTTAAGGTGCGTTTAGATCAAACGAACGAATGCTCGTTCGTCCTCCCCCACTTCCAACAATTCTTCGTACATTCAGCATTGGTTTATGCTCGTTTGGACTTGAATTTTGTCGAAGTGGTGGGGGGGAATAATCATTCGTTCGTTTCGTCTAAACGCACCTTTACACGCGTCACGTAACTACATCCCTGGGAAGAAATTTTGCTAGTTTATGGATCAGATTTTCAGCACTTTTTTATGTCTTTTTTATTTAACACGATCGATGGACACGTGTTCA